TATATATATATATATATATATATATATGTTTGTACTTTTAACATGAAAAATGAGTCGTTATGTACTTAGAGACTCCAGTCCCCTACTCCCAACCTACTCTCTCTCTCTCTCTCAATTGCAATTGCTTTGTTTCTTTGATGATTGATTTCTGCTTCATTCTATCACCAGATTTTGAATTTATCTTCGTCTTCTCAATATCAATTCTTCCAGTTTTCAATCATTTCCATCAAAGATTCCCCAAGTTCTCTATCACTGCAGAGAAAATGATGGATAATTCAGATATGTTTGAAGCAAGTGATTGCTTCGATCCAAACTCTCTGACTCATGAAGATGACAGTTTCCCACAACCTCATGTCTCCAATTTCCACCAAATTCCCAATTTCTCCGCCATTGAAGCACCTGGAGACGAGCTTCATCACCGGCATCTAATAACGAACATGGATATTCAGCAACACAACTGGACTCATAATGATCAGATTCTTATGGGGAATGATGACGATTGTTTGCCTACTCCACCACCAGATCTCCTCAATCTCTTCCAGTTACCCAGATGTTCCTCATCAATCTGCTTTTCCAACCCGACCCATATCGATCAAACCACCATGTACGACCCGTTATTACCTCTTAACCTCCCTCCGCACCCTCCCTTCGTCAGAGAATTGCTCAATTCTCTCCCAAACGGCTTCAATTTCTCGGGTTTTGGAGAAATGGATATGGAAAGAGGAGATCAAAATCAATTGTATCATGATGGAGATTCAGTTTTGGAGTTGGGTGAAAAAGGAAAAGAAACAAAACATTTTGCTTCTGAAAAACATAGAAGACAACAATTTAATGGCAAGTTTGAGGCCTTGAAGGAATTGGTTCCAAATCCCACAAAGGTATGAGAAATTCAACCATTAGATCGATCCTTCAAATTTTTACTGAATTCCAACATTTTCATTCACTTTAAACTTGTTGAATTACTTGTGGGTATGATGTGATTTCATGAATAAAAAAAGGCTGATCGAGCATCACTGGTTGGATATGCGATTGAATACATCAATGAACTCAAAAGAACTGTGGAGAAACTGAAGATCTTGGTGGAGAAGAAGAGATGTAATCCAAGTAGAATCAAAAGGCGAAAAACCCAAGATGATTCGACGTTAGATGTAGAGAGTATTTACACAAGAAGCAACGGCGATCCTGCCAATGATCGAGAAGCCATTAACGGCAATTCATCTTCTACAATGAGAAGCTCATGGCTACAGAGGAAATCGAACAACACTGAAATCGATGTTCGGATTGTTGACGACGAAGTTACAATCAAATTGGTGCAGCAAAAAAAGATGAATTGTTTGTTACTTGTTTCAAAAGTTCTTGATGAACTTCAACTGGATCTTCATCATGTGGCGGGTGGAGTCATCGGAGATTTCTACAGTTATCTGTTCAACTCTAAGGTACAACTTGTTTAGCCAATGCCATGCAACTTTGAGTTGTACATTGAGACCCATTTGGGGGAATCTTAAATTTGAAAGTTGAAAACTTGTTATGATCTTGAATGACATTTGCAGATTTGTGAAGGGTCCTCTGTTTATGCAAGTGCCATAGCCAATAAGGTAATTGAGGTGGTGGACAAACAATATGCTACATAAGGTACAACTTCTTTTGGATAAAGTGCAACCATTTATTATGGAGAGAGAAACATATATATATATATATATATATATA